TTGGATGAGAGATCAATTTGTTTTATTTTTGAATACCGAGAAATACTGTTGGGATCTTGTTTAATATGAAAATAAGAAAATAATCATCTGAACATCCACTCCTATGTGTCGATTCATATTTGACTTCTATAAATAGATAATGCTACATATGATAGCAATAACAGCAACAAGAATAACAACAGAATGATAACAATAAAGAACAACAGAATAATAACAATAAGGAACAACATTAATAATAATGCTAATATTAATAATAATAATAATAATGATGATAATAATAATAATAATAATAATAATAATGATAATGATAATAATAATAATAATAATAATAATAATAATAATAATAATAATAATAATAATAATTGCAATGATAATGATAATGATGATCAATAATAATGATAAGACGAAGAAGAATGATAATGATAGTATTATTAATAATAATAATAATAATAATAATGATAATAATAATATTAATAATAATAATAACAATGATAATGATTATAGTAATAATGATTGTATTGATTAATGAAATACTAATACTAATAATAACATGACGATAACGATCATGACGATAGTGAATATAAAAGTAAAGATAATAATAATGATAATAAAATGTAATAAATATAATAGTAATATTAGTAATAACAGTAATGATAATGATGATAACAATAATAATATTGATAATAATAATATTAGTGATAATAATGATGATGATAATAATAATAGTGATGATAATGATAATAATAATAATAGTGACAATAATATTAATAATGGCGATAATAATAATAATGATAGTAATGATAATAATATTAATGATAATAATAACAACGATAATAATAATGATAATAATAACGGTAATAATAATAATGATAACAGTATTAACGATAACAATAACAACAACAAATCAGCGAAAGCAAGCACGTGATTCCCCTGTCCTCCACAAGAGCTTCGAAGCTTCACACCAGACCTCGGACGCGCCTCTGTAAAATACTTAGTCGACCTAAAGCTGAACACCAGCCTTGCGCCACTTACCTGATGGTGGGGTGTTCAGTCGGTGTCGTCTGGAGAGTCCTTGTTGTGTGACGTTTGGGAAGGATTTGAGTGTGTTTTTGTTTTTTTTTTTGTGTGTGTGTGTGTGTGTTTTTTTGGGGGGGATGAGGTGGCTGTGGTGGGTAGGGGGGGGGGGAGGAGTATTGTTTGTTTGGTTTAATGTGTTGGTGGATGGTGCTGGTGAAGCTTTCTCTGTCTGTCTGTCTCCGTTTGTCTGTCTCTCTATCTCTCTTCTTCTCTCTCTCTGTCTGTCTTTCTCCCTCTCTCTTCTCTCTCTGTCTCTCTCTCTCTCTCTCTCTCTCTCTCTCTCTCTCTCTCTCTCTCTCTCTCTCTCTCTCTCTCCTCTCCTCCCTCCCTCCCTCCCTCCCTCCCTCCCTTCCCCTCTATCTATCTATCTATCCATCCATCCATCTACCTATCTATCTCTTTCTTTTAATAAATATAGGTGTTTATTTGCGTGTGGTAACAACTGTTGTGTCTTGGATCCCCTCCCGACTTCCCTCGACCAAGCTCATGTAAAATCCTCGGTATAAATTAGTCATATTTCCTGGCTTACTTGGGCTATTCGTTACGTAGCCTAAGCCAGAGCTACCTCATAGTTCCTGTCAGAGGTCATTTCCAAAGCGTAGAACACGTGGCAGGAGAGGAAAGGTAAGCTAGGTTTCGAGAGAAGGGTCATCGCCCATGCAACAGTGAATAGAGTTATCCTTCCTGTAAAATCACTAAAAGGATTTATCGATGGCCGAGCTAGTGACGG